CCCCCCCCAACTTTCCCCTAGCGTGGTCGAGTCGCAGCACAACACTGCTGGCTCTGAGCACCTCCTAGCCCATAGTCCCTCGGTGACTTTTCGGTGGAAATTTATTTCAAGGAGCCAACCCTTTCTCTGACATTATTCGCTAGAGCACAGAGGAGAAAGGGTATCTTTAGATTTTTTTTTCGAATTTAGCATCACCACTTGCCTGTAATGGTTTCCTTTCATTCTCATGATCCATCCCAATTAGCATTTCATTTTTCTTTTCATCAATTTTTATATGTTGACGTGGAGAGTGTTCTGCTTTGTTTCTATTTTTGCCTGGCGTTGATAATATGTGGTCCTGAAATTGAAAACCCGATGTATTGTGGAGCAAACGTGGACAACAAAGAGCTCATTACCGGTTCCATCTGACCATGCCCCTCATTTAATTTTTCCACATAACGTCGAAGGATTGACTTAACATCTGAAGCCATTGTGACCGATGGTGGTTGTTATATAGATACCGTCAAGGCGTTCTGTAAGGACTTATTAGGATCGCTCTGCAAGACTTATACAACCCCTCTGTGAGTTTGGTCTTATTGACCATGACGGTTCAGACTTATGGTAGTTCTCCTTCATTTGATCTGTCGATCCTCTACAATCACTTCATCTCCCTCACTTTCTTCACCGATCAACACGCCTGTCTCTTCCTTCGCTCGAAATAAATGAGCAGATCCATTTAAGCGTTTCTGCCTTTCTCACTGGTATTTATTGTATTATTCTTTCAAAAGCAGGACAGCACTGGATGCGTGGTAGTCCCAGGACTTCAAATGATTATCCTTAGTGGGCATTTCAACCCCATTGTCGAGTTCTTTGCTCATTCCACATGGATTTTTTTTTGTGAATAGTGCCTTTAATGCCTTTAACTCGATGATGGTCGCACTGTCTCCCGATGTTCGGACACATCGGCGTATAGGTTTAAAGCTACTGAGCAGGGAAGAAGTGTTTGGGAGATGAGCCCCGCTCTGGTCGATCGTCTGATATTAGTTAGCGGCCAGAGGACACTGGTGCATACGAATGGGCAATGTCCTTGTATGTTATTTCCCTGGAAAATTCTAAAACACTACAGGAACATCCGAACTTTGTCGAAATTTGGCAAAACTTCCTAACACTCTGGGATAGAACCATTTGTCGCTGTCTCACTTCTAACCTACTTACTAGTTGACCCACTCATCCGTAGCACAAAGTAAACCTTGTTTTTTTCAACGATACGTGCTCTTACAATTAGACAGCAACCGTCTAGTGAAAAGAACGTCAGAAAGGCTTGCGCCATGTCAATTTTTGACATGCGTCATCTGATGACTCGGTTGACAACCAACCTCCATGAGTTCTTTTGCAGCTGGATCAATCGGCCTTTCGATGAGCAGGTTAACCACGCTGTCCCTCTGAAATAGGAGGGCACCTTTGAGAATAGAGGAATTCCATGAAAGAAGTGTTATTCGTAACGGAATCGAGTATTTCAATTCGGAAAAGAAGTGACGATATTTTTGGTGTTTATACTCCATTTCCGTCCTAGAATGGAGCGGTTCGACCTTTACCCAGAAAAAAGTGCAGTTACCTGGAGCGCATTCACCATTAGTGTTTTGCAGACATCCTTATCTGACACTGGCATCCCATTGACTTGTATAATGTGATCCAGTGACTGTAGTGGTGCGCTTGCTAAAGAAGTTGTAAAGTTAAGCTGCAGTTATACGATTGAGGTGGCAATTTACAGGTGTGAGTAGCGCCATTCATACTTGCTGGGACCTCAAAATTTCAACTGCTAATTATTTCGTGGATGATGGTCTGAACTAATCATTTAACAGATCTCACCATTCTCTACTTTGCTGACAATGACTTGATTACGGTAGTGTTTCACGAACAGCCCGAAGTTCATGCCTTCATAGCACTTCAGCGTGACGTGATAGTAAGCAAAGCTGAAGGGACGTTGTCAATTGCTGTAGCTTTCACAGAACTCTTACATATATCTCAGAGTTATGTGGTCCCTGAACCATTTGATTCAAAGAGCTGAATAAGAATCCGCTAACGATCTCTCAAGCGATTTCCTTGAAGGCACAACTTGCGAATGATCCTCTTAAAGGCACGGTTCACGATAAAACGAGTTACTGAGTTCTTCCTTTAGGAATACTCAGCGCCCCCCATGGGTGGTAGAAGGGACCCTCTCGCTCCCACAATCTCGGCGCTTAGGGCATAGTGAAAGCCTCGTTGCTGCCGTAGTTCGCTTTCCCGCCCCTCGATCGGTGTCACATTAGACGAGTGTTGAGACAATACAGATTGCTATTATTCGTTCTAGGACCC